TGTAAAGTGAGAAAGCCCATTGCACCTGCCACTTGAGGCTGCTCTGCCCATAAAGCCAGCTAGTCTATGTAAGTGCTCCAAGTGGTGCCCGGCACGCAGGAAGGACCCAAATCACGTTAGCTGTTTTTATTTCCATCTGAAGCCTTAGTCAGATGTTTTATTAAAGGTAGGTTTGGGGGATGTGCTGTGGGTTCAAGCATTGAAAAGCTATTTATTAAGCATCTTCTGAGGGCAGAACTAATCCTAGAAGAAGGAGTTTCGAAGCTGAAGTCAGCAGCAGTGATAAACACTCCAACCTCGGACAGGTGGCACCGTCTGGCTGTTAGAACAGCCAGAGCATCTTAGGGGAGCAGAGGCAGCCGGAGAGATCCCTGAACCAGGAGGCTTCTGGGGGGGAACAGGGGGTGGCCAGGAGGGGATGGAAGCAGGAGACTGGAGGCAGATTGTGGGGTGTGAAAAGAAGGGGGAGCTCCACAAAGATGATGGAAGGATGGGGGAGCCCTTCTGACCAGGAAGAGGGGGAAGAGCCAAGGAGAGAGGGATCTCCTGAGAGGGCTGGTGTTGATCTGGGCACCCCGAGGGCAGCAGATGGGGATCCCTGCACTTAGTCCGACTCGGGGAGCTCAGGATGAGCTAGTGGAGGCCCCAAGGCCCAGGCAGGACGGGAGCGGGCTCCACTGCCCCACACTGAGAGAGCACAGGCCCCTCTGTGTGCAGAAGAGCCCTGGCCGGGCCTCCTCTCCTTGAAGGGCCCGACAAAGACTCGCTTGTTCTCCCCTGACATCAGACCTCGCCCTCAGGACTTCTCTGTTCTTCTGGGGCAAGATCTCACACAGTGATAATAGCGTGAAAGGGAAGGGAGGGAGCAAGTGAAGGCTGGCCCAGGCGTCGCCATGCCAACCCGCTCCCCAGCAGAGGCCAGGAAGGCGCCCCGCGTGCGCCTGTGCCCCTCGTGGGTCCTGCAGGGGACAGTGCCCGGGGGCCGAGTGTCTGGTCCCAGCCGAATGGGAGCCGCCGGTCCCGGTTCTGAGAGGGGCCAGCTGCTTGGTCAGCGATGGACAGACTGTTCGAGGGTCAAAGTGAATGATCGCTGCATATAATGGTTTGGTTGTTTTCTGGTTCTTTTTCCTTCTTCCCTTAAGTAAAGCAAGTGTTGCATTTAAACACCTGGGTTGGGATCCCTGGGTGGCGCAGCGGTTTGGCGCTTGCCTTTGGCCCAGGGCGCGATCCTGGAGACCCGGGATCGAATCCCACATCAGGCTCCCGGTGCATGGAGCCTGCTTCTCCCTCTGCCTGTGTCTCTGCCTCTCTCTCTCTCTCTGTGACTATCATAAATAAATAATAAAAAAAAAATAAAAAAAAAAATAAACACCTGGGTTGTCGATTTGAACAAAGATTTACAGAGAGAGTTTTGCCTTCGGAAATTTCAGAAAGGCTTACTGTTCAGGTGGCTCAGTGGGTTAAGCGTCTGACTTTTGGTTTCGGCTCAGGTCATGATCTCAGGGTCGGGACACCAAGCCCTGCATGGGGCTCCACGCTCGGCAGGGAGTCTGCTTGAGATTGTCTCTCTCCCTCTCCCTCTTCCCCTCTACCTGCTTCTGCTCTCTCTCTCTCTCTTTCTCTCTCTCTCAAATAAATAAATAAATAAATCTTTTAATTTTTTTTTTTAGTTATTTATGATAGTCACACACACACACACACAGAGAGAGAGAGAGAGAGAGAGAGAGAGAGAGAGAGAGAGAGAGGCAGAGGGAGAAGCAGGCTCCATGCACTGGGAGCCTGACGTGGGATTCGATCCTGGGTCTTCAGGATTGCGCCCTGGGCCAAAGGCAGGCGCCAAACCGCTGCGCCACCCAGGGATCCCCAATAAATAAATCTTTTAAAAATATTTTTTTAAAGGCTCACTCTGTAGAGCAATCTGTGAGAACATCCGGTCTAGCTTCTGTCTGATTTTTTTTTTTTTTTTCAGTGAGTAAACCAAGGCTGGGACAGTAGGAGGCAGTGTGAACGATGGGAAGAGTCAAGCCTTCCCAGCCATCTAGTTTGGGCTCCAGGACTGGGATCCTGTGCTTCGTTAAGCACTTACTGAGGACAAGACCTGGTCTACAGCAGGGCTCAGATAATCCTATCTCTGATTATTTTCTGAACTTTCCCTAGTTTTCCCTGGTGTGCCCAGTTGGGATCCATAAATGAAACACTCATAACACAAAATACATGTTAAACCAGTGCAGGAGCAACTCCTCATTTCCTTCGTCCTAAAACAACTGCTTACTTTTGAGCTATGGGATGAAAAGGGGATTGGACACTGGAACTTCCAGTCCTTAGTCTAGTGCAGAGCTTCTCAGACGTATGGCCAAGGCCACAGGTTAGTCTCTGAGGATAAACTGGTGTCTCCACCATCTCTCCACGGTGCTTCCCACACTCCACTAGGCACCTTAGGACCTGAGGTCATTTAGTGGGTTCTGAGCTGGTGCAAACCACAGAGCAGCCTCAGACCTTGTATTTGAATAAAAATTTACCATCTTCAGGTAGGATTAAAGGGCAGCCTAGACTGTGCTTGAACCGTCTCTGAGACTTCGAGCCCCAGAGCAGATGGAGAGCAAAGCTTTTACATTTAGTCATTTGTGGCCACGGACACCAGCCTGGAAACCCCAGCTTCAGGGTAAAGTTTAAATCAGGATAGTGCACGGTTGAGTCATCGAGAGCAGGGCTGGCCTTTAACATAAATTTGGAGATAAACTCGGTGAGTTTGTTTGTTTGGTTTTATTGTGGTCTCGGTGGATCAATCCAAACAGGGAAATCCCACGGTGACTTTGCTGCATTCTCTGTGTACTGTGGATTTCCTGCAAGAGCATCCTCTCTGTGAAAGCAACATTGTGCTTCTTATAGAAATAAGCTGTCTGTAAGCACAGGGGGAGGGGGCACAGTCACCAGTGGAGGATCTCCCACTAGCATAATTTACACTTCCTTGGGGCATCTGGGTGGCTCAGTGGTTGAGCATCTGCCTTTGGCTCAGGTCATGATCCCGGGGATCCTGGGATCGAGTCCTGCATCGGGTTCCCTCCAGGGAGCCTGCTTCTCCCTCTGCCTATGTCTCTCTCTCTCTCTCTCTCTGTGTGTGTGTGTGTGTCTCATGAATAAATAAATAAAATATTTTTTTAAAAATTTACACTTCCAGAGTATTTTCCAGTTGTGCCGAAGTAAACTATAGAAACTCGTTTTGATAGACTTGGGATAGAATTTCAGCCTTTCCTCCCCCCAGCCACCCCCCCCCCTGTTTTTTCTTTCTCTTCCACTCCAGCTGGAGTCAAGGTGATTCAGCCACAGGCCATGTTTCCCTTGGTGGAAAACGTGACTTAAGAAATTATCAAAAGCAGCTGGGCAGGATGATTACTTACCCAAATGGTTGAATCTATTAATCCACACTCCCATCCCCCTCCACCACCACCCCCCATGCCACCCCCTGCCAATGGCCATGGCTCCATTGCTGGCAGACTGGTTAAGACCAGTCCTTTTGAAATGACCTTGAACAGGAATTAAGTGAATTCTGGTGTTAAGTAAGCACTGGGTACTACGGCTGTGAGTGTGAACACTTCTTACTACTAAGAGGAATAACATTCATTTAGAAAATATCCAGGACTTTGAAATCCATCCCCCTGCTTTGTCCTTTTTACAAACTTCTGCTTTTGTCCTGCTTTTGCACTGCTTTTACCCTGACCCGGTCTGGCAATTTTAATGTGGGATGGTAATGCCCCTTAGTGGAGAGCATGCTTAACTGCAAGCTCTTGTGTTTGCCCAAAGAAAACCTCTGTTTTAGCAGGAACACATCATTTTCCCAGTTCTGAAAACTAAACAGGGTACCTGCTTTTGAAGGTCATCATGAGAATCAAATGAGATAATGTGCAGTCAGCGCTTAAAATAGCATGGAGCGCAGGACTGCCAGTGGCTGTGACAGGGAGGATTTGGGGAAGCAGGGGATGAATGAGGTCATCCCTGGAGTCCCCAGGATTTTAGATTCAGGGCCCTCTGTGTCAGCAGTGACATGTCGTAGGAAAGGTGACTGAAGTACATCCTCAGCTGAGACAGGACTCTCTCCCAGCTGGCCCACCTGCCCGGAGGCGGGAGGCAGCAAGACCCACTTCAGAAAGTGCACCCACGGTTCAGCCTTACATATTCCCACTGTGCAGGAGTTTTGATTCAAAGAGGCATCCACGGGGCGCCTGGGTGGCTCAGTCGAATGAGCATCCCACTTGATTTCTGCTCAAGTCACATCTCAGGGTCCTGAGATGCAGCCCCATGTCTGGCTCTGCAGTCAGCGGGGAGTCTGCTTAAGATTCTCTCTCCCTCTCCCTCTGTCCCTCCCCCAGTTCTCTCTTTCTCTCTCTTCTCCCCCCCCCAAAAATAAACAAAATGTTTTAAAAGCAAACAAACAAAGAGGTATCCTCAAATGGGAATCCACAGTCCTGAGACATGTTATTTTGTCCTGCCTATCCCTGACCTTGGGCCTCCCCCAGCGCGGCCTCCCAAGCTGATTGGCGGGGCCAAAGGTGGAGACACTCATAGGCTTCTCTTTGTGAGAACTAGTCGCTGGCCGTTCTCCACCACGTGGGTGAGGCAGGCTGCTCCCAAAGCCTCTGCCTGTCTTTAGTTCACTTGCACATTACTGAGGCTGGAACTTGCCTTTTAGATGACTCAAGTTTTCTTTCTTTCAATTTTCAAGCATAGCATGAGATCCCTGTCTGTTACTTCCTATGCCAGAAACTAGTTATATCTTAATTAAACTAGGTGAAAGGAGGTAAAATATTTCCTCCCCTCTCCTTCCATCCTACCATCCCTCCTTCATCCCTCCTTCACTCTTTCACCCTCTCCTGCCTGCCAGTCCTCCTTCCTTTCCTCTTTCTCTTTCTAAGTAAATGGCTGGGACTCAGGAGATCTTGGATACAGCTTTTGGCATTCATGCTCTCACTTCTGCACTCACTATTTTTTTTTTCCTTTATTAGCAAACACGTATTCCCTGAGTGGCCTGCTGTGGATTCAAGCATAAGTCCTCGCTCCTGTCCTGGAGGTAATCACCTTCTAGGAAAAGAGGCAGACAGGTAAGTGGGAGTGACTGGAATGTGGAAGGCTGGTGTGTGAGGACTCCCTGGGCTCTGGTGAGAGGCAGAGGGCAGAGGACACCACCCCCCACCCTGGGAATGGGACAGGCATCAGTTCAGGCCCCAGGCCAGCGGAAAATGGAAGTCTACTTGGCAGAGAACTATACTGAGAGCAGGTGTAAACGCACATAGGAAAACCAGTCCCACCACTTCATCATAACCAGAAGACTGGGATCTTCCAAGGGATCTCAAAGCTGAGCCTGTGACACCTGCTACTCCCAGGACCCCTCATCTCCACCCCCACCAAGGGGGTATGATCTCAGTGGTGAGGGACCCAGGGTTGGCTTCGCTCCAGCTCCCGAGTCTCACCAGTAGCCGGATGTCCACTGACAGCTTCTCCCTCCTGACTCCACACACAGCCTCCTTTTACATGAAGCCTTCCAGTTTATTCCAGCCCAGATGAGTCACCTCTTCTCTTGCACCCCTTTTCCAGAACACTTTCCTTTCACCCAAATCACAGTCTTCCCTGGAACGTTCCGTCCTTTACTGTGGGCTTTGACCATGGTTTCTTGCCCTCACTGGATTGTGCTCTCAGACCACTTCAGGGACTGAGTCTTACTGAGCAGTGGCCTCTAAAATGAGCAAATTTTTGTATGTTTATTCCTTAACACGCATCAACTTTCAATACTCTATTAAGGACTGTGCTAGGTATTGAAGATGTTAGGGTCATTGGAAGGAAGAGGTCACTTAAATTTGGGAGCAAGTGGCATGGGTGAGGAGAAGTATTGGAATTCATTGGTGGTGGGGGATCAGCTAAATTATATTGAATATAAATTGGCAGATAGCCTGGCAAAGCCAGTGGAGTTTTGGCAACTATACAAAATCTTTGGTTATTGTGGTACTTTCTAGAAATTTTGAAAAAAACTTATTATTAATTCCAAGGAAATGCTGCCATTTCCTGGGCAATGTAACTCGACATGGGATCTGTATTAACGTCATGGCTTTGTCATCTCATGGATTTTTTTTTTTTTATTTGAAATTTGAAAGCCAAAGGACAGAGCTCTGGTATTTGCAAATTATCCCCAGCCTAGTGCCTTCATGTTGCAGTTGTGCTATTATTATAATTGCAAGGAGACCTGATTTGGGCTTCTAGGGTTGGGGCATGGCAGGCCCTCAACTGCTTCTCAAATTCCAAAGGAAAAGGGGCCGAATTAGAGAATGTCATATTAGACCTTTGAATACACAGGAGAGATTAAACCAGACTGTCCAAGCATTGCTTCCTAGAGCTACTTTGGGGCCACTTTGTTGAATGGATGAGATTCATTTGTAAGTTTGTATGCCTATGCGTTTCATGACATTTGCTGCATCAAACACACACAAGGGCTTGAGAACCGTTTCTCTGACATAGTATAAGCATTCCACCAGATTCCAGAATTACTCCCTTTTCACAGACTAACTCTCTAGCACCCCCTGATTGCAGCAGTGGACAATTTTGATACAGCATGGGACATTTGAAAGTGCTGGGGCGCTAGCCTCACTGTCCTTGCCTTATAACTTGAAATCCAAATGGCTTCAAGGAGCAAGAGCAGGACGGCTCACAGAAGTGCTGTTAGTATGTAATGCTGTTGCATAAATGGAAGGTGCGTCCCTATTCTAATTAACTTAGCTCATGATTTGGCCCTAGGTTGCCTGGATACATATTTGGAAATTGTCACCCGTTTTCACTGTATAAAACCCTAGGATGTTGGGACAAGGGGGAGTTCCCAGATCATTGAGCCAGTCCTGGTGGGCAACAGATGATAAGGATGAGGCTCAGAGCAGGGAAATGACCTTCCTCAAGGTCCTGTAGCAAATAAGTGACTAAAATGAGATTAGGATACAGAGCCCATGACTCTCTGCACACTCGGTGGCATTACAGAGGCATTATAGTCCATGGTATGTCCTGTGCCCTTCGAGCCTTGAGTTACACAATAACCATCTGACCCACCCAAGGCACCAAGCTGCATTTCTGCCCAGGAATGTCCCTCCCTGCTTCTGCTCTATGGTTGCAAAGTTCCTCTATAATCAGTCCTCAGCTGCTTCTTCCGACCTTCTCTCCCCCAACCTTGCTCCCCCCTGCTCCCCCCCCATACACAATGCATTTTCTATCTTACAATTTCATACTGTTCCTCATTAGGACCATGCTCATTGGTCATGCATTTCCCCATCCCTTGTAGTAACCCTTCTCCCTCATTCTTATGCAAATGACCGTGTCTGACTAAAATATTAGATGACCTGAGAGCCTCTCCTCCCATGGGATATGGAGGAAAAAATTTGTTGACAGAGAAGCTCCATGGGGTCATGGGAACTTTGTTCATGAACGAATGACTACATTCATCCAAAATTGTATGTAAGTGTAGTATTCCTATTATGTGTCGGGCCCTCTCCTAGGAGTTGAAGGTACATATGTCAATGGTAATAGAGATTTAAATGAAAAATAAAGACAGTGGGGGTCGCGTAAGGTGAGGTGGGGTGAAATCCTATTTTGGACTAGGTGGTTAGGTTAGGCTCCACTGACAAGTGGACAGAGGCCGAAAGAAAACCATACAGATATACTGGGGGAGAGCATTCTAGGCAGAAGGATTAGCAAGTGCAAAGGTCCTGTGGCACAAAGATATGTGATAAGTTCAAGAAAAATGGTGGGGAGGCAGAGGTGGCTGAAGCAGAGTGAAGGACGGGAAGTTGCAGGAGATGACTCACTGTGGGGTACCTAGAGCTGCCAGATAGGCAATTAACCAAGAGGTTGGGAACTGACAAGACCAGAGTTGGGGAATCTATTTAAGGGATGAGTATGATATTCTGGTCAAGAGGTGATGGCTTGTGGTTTGGTCTAGGGGCATTGGTGATGAAGGGTGTGAGAAGCAATGAGATTCAAGATATATCTTAAAAATGTTGCAATGGTATTTGTTAGGTTGGTTATGGGCTATTTTAAAAGAAAGAGAGAAGTCTAAGAGAACACCACCTTTTTTAGACTGAACATCTGGAAATATAGAATTGCCATTGGCTGAGTGAGGGAAGACTGGAGCAGGGCAATCTTTGAGGAGAGATACCAAAACTTTAGTTTTGGGCATGTTGAGCTTCACTTGTTTATTGGAGTCAAGTGGTCGATTGGATATACAAGTCAGGAATTCAAGCGAGGAGATGAACGCAATAGGCATGAATTGGGAAGTCATTGGCATCCACGTCTAAGATGGTATTCAAAGCCCTCAAAGATATTAATAGTTGTGTAGGAAAGAGGAGCTCTTTGTCATGGCCGGGAGGACAGAACTAGGACCAGTGGTTGGAACAAGAAAAATAACAAGAGTAGCAGTGAGTTATGACAACTCACTTACGCATCTGGCTGCTTACCCGTGCTGTCTCATTATTTCTAAAAATCACCCTTGAAGAGGTTAAAATAATCTCTGTTTTACTCATATTGAAACTCCGCCTGGGGAGGGGGGGTGAAGTAAATGTTGTTAAATACATTGATTAAGACCATTAATTACCCAGCGCATAAGCTGGCTGAGCTGGGATGCACCCCCAGTCCTTGTTGCCGTTGCTAACGCTGAGCATCAGTCAGGAAGCAGATCACAGCTCAGTTTAAGGAATTCAGGGGCATGGTCTTTCTCTCATTTTTAAGAAACACCTTTCAGCTGAGAATTTCTGCCAGCAAAGCCCCCTCACCTTCAAATTAAGCATGGCCTGAACATCGGACACTTCAGGGGCCGCAGAAATAAAGCCTGAGGGGACACACAGTGCTGCCCATGCCAACACGGCACATGGTGTAAAGCAAGGGGGGACAATTTGGAAAAAGACAGAGTCACGCTTCCGCTCTAAGCACCAGCTACAGTTTTAAGCAAAGACTTTGCCAGGAGGTGCTTGTTGATGTCCTTTCCTAGTTCCAGAGGTCAGAGGACAGCGCCCACCCTCCCAGAAGCAGGTGTTCATTCCACACTGGCCATCTGCAGGCACACTCTGCCCTGCTGTCGTCTCGGCTAGGCCCTGCCACAGGCACATGAGCGCTGTGGACCCCATCTAGGAGAGGAAGATCGGAGGGGCCACGTGACTTGTCCAAGGTCTGCAGCTGATACATGGTACTGTTGAGATCTGAACTACTTTCCAGACTCCCAAGCTCCTGCCTATTGCAGTGCACTGCTTAGGGAGGGACGGGAGAGAAGAGTCTGGACTGCTGAGAGCACCTTGCACCGGATCAGCCCAGTGTCCCCAGCATGTGGTTCCGGGGACGGCCAGCAGAGGGGACCACGCACCCGGTTTCTCCAGCCCGAAGCCATGTTGAATGAGCAAATGTCTGCAGCAGACTCTGAGATCTAAATGTCTCCTTGGCAGGAAATCCTCGAGGAGCACTGCGGGGTTGTGCAAACAGCCTTACAATGTCCGCTTGTGTGTGTGCACTCAGCTTCGCCTGCGTCGCCCACAATGCTCTGTTTTTTTTTTTTTTTTTTTTTGGATAATGGGGCTCTGTGGACCCATACGCCTTGTCATGCAAAGGGAGGGACCTGTATTTGTCATAAATGGGCTCTTGTATGATGAACAGCCATGCGAATGAGCGCAGCAGCCGTTCAGCACCCAGCTTCACGTCTTCACCAAGGCGGTGGTCTGAGTCGGCTTTCTCCCCTTGCTCCAAAGCAGCAGTGCAGTGTTTCTTGCTAAAAGGGAAATGACTTGTTTGCATGGTGGCTGCAATTGTTGCTACACAAGACAAGAGGGGCAGAAAACGAGTTTTGTGGTCAGGAGCTGACTGCATGCCATGTACTACACTGGCTACTTAACCTTCATTATCTTTATTTACTCAGTAGCAACATTGCAAAGGAAGTGTTATGATTTGCATTTTACACAGGAAGAGAACTCAGATTCAGTTGAGGAGAGCGACTTGTCCAAGGTGTCCAGAGCCCATGCTATTCCCACTGAAGGACTCCCTTTCCTTTGCAGTGCGGTCCATGGTTCACACACTTGAAGATGCC